CGAAGTCACCTACGATCCATCCCAATTCAAAGGCAACAAAGACGCTGGTTTCACCATATTAGCCAACTACATCGGTGTTATGGGCAATCCCCAGAACACCAAGCCAGAAAAGATTGCCATGACGGCTCCGGTGATAACCAAATCGTCCGAGAAGATTGCGATGACAACTCCGGTGGTGACCAAGAGCGAAGGAGAGGGGGAGAAGAAGATGGTGTCCATGCAATTTACACTGCCTGAGAAGTACAAGAAGGCAGAGGAGGCGCCGAAGCCGGTGGATGAGAGGGTGGTGATAAGGGAGGAGGGGGAGAGGAAGTTTGGGGTGGTAAAGTTTAGTGGGGTGGCGACGGAGGAGGTGGTAAAAAGGACGGTGGAGAAGCTGAAGGAGAGCTTGGGGAGAGGCGGGTATAAGGTGATTGGGGAGTTCTTGTTGGCAAGGTACAACCCACCTTGGATGACTTTGCCTCCTTTTAGGACTAATGAGGTCATGATACCTATTGAATGAATTTTGAGAAGGGATAATATATAAAGTGAGTTGTATTTGTATCTCTGTTATTGTTGTTAGACTGATAAATAAGACATGTTTGTTTTTGTTATGTTTGGTTGGATCGACTCGGCCTATCACTCACTCCTTTGAAATTGACACTCAAAACAGAGTGGGGTTTTTGTTGCTCTCCAAGAATTGACCATTTAATTTCCAGAAATGTCCGTCATTAAGGGCTTAAAAATGCCCTAATTCACTCACTCCTATACAGAACTCTGCATAAAAAGCAAAACTTGGGTATGGAGTTTATTAGTCCGAGTAGAAAATAATGGGATGAATACAGACTCTGTCCAGATGAGCAATACTGAATAGATTCAGATGCCTAATTCAAAAGATATAGCTTAAAATAATTACATCAATCAATCGACCAACACTACTGAATTGTTATTGATAAAAAATAACAACAGAAAAATATAGATAAAATTTGAAGTCTGAAAATAACCCGCCCCGAAGCAAAGTAAGTTCTTCCAAAAAGCAATGCAAATCTAATCTGCACTCAAATACAATAGAACTGTGCATCAGACTAAAAATGGGTGTTAGATTTTTAAAAATTCAAAGCCACATATTTGGAAGACATATATGCAAACTGCTAACAAAAGATCCTGTTTACTGTGTAGGTGTAAAATTTCGCTCAACCAATAATGATTAAGAAAAATAAAACAACTCACTCAATCAATAGTAAAAATAAACAAGAATAATATATGTCGAAGCGTAGAATTACTTGATCCCTTATTGGAGGTCTAAGCCTCTATTTATATACAAAAGACTGTTAAATTATGGTAGGACTCGCGGTGCTTGTTCTCCAATTCTTTCTATATAAACATTCTTTACTAATGGAGTTCTTTCCATTGTCTAATTTTCCATACATAGAACTTGCCTTGTACAGAACTTCCTATCTCATAATTATCCTTCTACGGTAAATCCTTCAACTGGTAGGACTTGTGCATTCTTGAATAACTAGGCTGAACATACTTTGATCCGGCTGGGCTTGAGTCACGGACCGGATGTTAAATATTAACAAGTTGGGCTGATGACCTCTTGATTCGGCCTTGATGGAGGTTGGAAGACAAATAACAATGGTCTTGGGCTAAAAATACACTCAATTTGGGCTTGAGCATGACGGGCCTTATATGTCCTTGGAATGTAGATATGTGTAGTGACGACGTGTACGCTTCTTATTGGAGGGCGTTTTTTTCCTTCCACACTTTGCCCCAAATTTCATTTTTAATTGAGTGACGACTCCCATTAAAGAGGGAATTGAAACCGGTTTTTTACTTTGCTTCAGAGACGGTGTGATACCCCTCGAATCCGAGACACGGGTTGATCAGGCCCAGGCCCAAACCCGAGGGAATATAAAACAATTAATATTTTATAACGAACACGGAATACAAAATGAATTAAGAAATGAAAGTTTAAAGCTGAAAAGAAAACTAAAAGAAAATCCTTAAATAATTAAATACTTAAATTTGATAAACCAAATATCCATAATTTGAACAACTCGGGAATCCATCTCTAGTGGACCCCTAATAAAAATCTCACACTGAATGAAAGTAAAATGAAAGATAAAATCCAAATCCAAGATCTGGAAAGAAATCCTACATCGTCGGTAGAATGGAAGATCGTCTCTACTCAGCACGAACAAGCTCAAGCCTGAAACTGACGTACACCTGAAAAATAGGAGTGGGTCAGGCTCACGAACAAGTTCTAACCTACTACAATCCAAGCAGAGACTCGATACGTATGTACATACTAAATAGTTCAACAATAACTAATAATCCGTACATAAATATATCCACACTACTGGACTATCGCTAGGCCATGAAGGGGGTCTCAACCTGGATAGAAGGCATCACACAATACGCACCTGAGTGGGCATGAGTACCTAAACCTAAACAGGGTATACCTCAACCTTCACAGTCAGCTACACATCCAACTGCATATACGCACCCTAACCGTCGACACTGAGACTCAAGCTCATGACACGGTAACATAAAAATATATCTAAACTCCGTTTCTAACCATCCACAAGAAATCCAGAAAGTCACTCGGCGTATTCAACCGTACCGACTTATATATATAAGGAGGATTGTATTTTATAACCCGTGCCCTTACTCCAAAATAGGTAGGACTTAGCAATTTGAGCTAATTCAAACCTAGTATGTCACCGTCCCATACCGGTACATACAATCCAATCCGTCCGATAGTTGATAAAGCATATACAAATACATAACAATATCAACGAGTCCATATCAAGCATATCAGAATGCAGTAACAACCGTTCTTGAATAGTCCCAACAAATTGATTAACATTGGAAACATAAATATCAATATTAATTACTCTATTTCACGCATTTAAATAATTTATAAATGCCAAAACCAACAATTCCAACCTAACCATGTTAGAATAGATTAACCATCATGCTTTAATAAATCCAACCACTGATTAAGTACCAACAGTATCAGTGTCAAAACCCACAGTTCCAAACTAAGCACATTAAAGTATACTAGGAAAACATGCTTAATTAATCCAGCAATAAGCCATTACCGGATCACCCACAGGACTGTGTCTGTAAATATAAGTTTATTCCCGGTATCCATAATTAACAGAGCTTAAACAAATGTTATAATATTTATTTCTATGGCATGCATAATAAATCTAGACAATTTATCATACTGTTAAGCTCCTATTCAACACAATTGACGAATTAAATGTTAAGTTTAATCATCAATTAATCTTTAGCAAAAATACAAATTCCTTGTATGTAGGTATACTCTAAGAATTTGCAATTAGCAGTGCACAAACTCTCACAAGAAATTTTACATTATAATCTGGAAGTTAGAAACTCCAAACCCACACAAGTCTGCAAGACATTCGTAATTAACTCCATGTAATCCTAACGACTAATGCTTTGTGTCCAATTCTATGTTAATCCGATCTTTGCATATTTATGTTTATTCTAGACCACTCCTAAACCATCCATTACAGTATTTATTCTCCACTAAAACATATTAAAACAATCACTAGGAAGCCTAATCACTGAAAATTGGAAAAACAACCAACAGACCCAAAAACCCACGAATAAACAACCTGGAGCCGGCTCCAGAATATTGGAGCCGCCTCCAATGGCCCTGGAGCCGGCTCCTAGACCATTGGAGCCGCCTCCAGTCCAAGGAGAGCCGGCTCCAATCCAATAGGAGCCGGCTCTCTCCCTCCTCTTCTTCGTGTTCTCTTCTCCGGTCGCCGTTTACGCCTCCGATACTTCACAGTATAGGTTTTCAGAGAGTTTAACTTAATCCCAGAAGATTCCAACCCTTAATTCAGTCCTTATTATGCTACTAATATGGATTAAATCAAGAATTAAACAAGAAAGTTCAAAGTTTAAACAGTTTACAATTTTAAAACAAATTCAGTTTCAGTGAAACTCTGAACATGAAACAGCTAACGTTTTTATTTTTTTAAAACATGTAATTCATCCTGGAACTATTGAGTATGCAAAGAACACGAGTATAAGGGAGAGAGTAAGGTTAGAACTTGCCTTTTGAGATTTTTGTTAAAAATCTCTACGTTGTCTTCTACGATCTCCGGCGATTCCTACTACAACTTCCTCTGTTCCTCGTTTCTAATTCCACAGACGTGTTTTGGTTTTATTATTTTTTTCCCTAAGCAGACTTATTTTATATATTTATAAGAATGTAATACCCCTAATTTTCAAAAGGATAGTCTCGGTAATTTGTTTAATTGTTTTCTGTTCATTAATTGTTTTGAATTATGTTTTAATTGACTTTTTAATGATTTGATTTACTTGACTTATTTGTGTTATTTGAATTAATTAGTTAGTTTATTTGTTTTCTTTGGTTTAATTAATTATTTGAATTATTTACATTAATTGTGATAATTGTGATTATTTAAGTTAATTGTTTTAATTATTTATTTGGCTTTAATTCTCTATAAATTGTATGTTATTTTCTGTTTTACGGTTAACTTGGAATTTTTATTGTTTCTTTAATTGAATTAGTAATTACATGTTTTAATTTATGACTAGGTATAAAAGTGTGGTTAGGGTTTTAGTTCTGTTTAGGTTTAATTTAATGAGCCGACAGGGTTTATAAACTAGGTTGTGTTTATGGGCCGCGTTTCAGACTTTAGATATAATTGGACTTAGGGTTTTGGTTTTATTATTTTTTTCCCTAAGCAGACTTATCTTATATATTTATAGGCAACCAAAACTTATCGTGCCCCAATCAATTACGCTCCCCATCCCGCGCAAGTTCGGGAAATTAGGTATAGAATACTTAACGTCCCTTCATACCAAGTGTTCTGGCTGTTTTCCTTGCCAAGTCTTAATGTTTCGCCGTACTTATAAGTTTCTTGGTGTTTTTTCAGCTACATTCCCATCCTCCGCAGCAAGGAACAGACTTTCTTTTCTTGAGGAACGAGTCTGGAGTGACCCCTCGCCTATCGAGGACCTGCTAACTTCTTCAAACCTCAAGGATATTGCCTTTAGTGCTGTTGCTGCAGACCTCATGGATCTGTCTCTACCATCCTTTGATAGTTTCCCCATGACTGAGGAGGAGATACGGAGGGCTGAGGCTTTAAAAAAGAAAGCCGAAGATGCCCAACCCTTGGTCGTTATTAGGTCTACTGAGGATGAGGTGGAGGCTGAGGAACCACCAAAGAAGAAATCTCGCCCCAACCCCCCATCCTCTGGCAAGGGCAAGGTCCCTTCTAAAAGCAGAGGGAAAAAGGCTGGAGAGGCCGAACCTGAAGATGAAGTCAGGGCATATGTTCTGGCTGAAACTGGGGCTCCTTGGACTCCTTCCTTCACCAGGGCTGACAAGTCAGTCCTACATTCAGGGGATTCTGTGATCACAAACCCTTCAGCTGCACTGGCTGTGGCCCGAGGGATGTGGCTCCCAAAGGACGAGGAAGCCATCAGCCAAATGGGATTGGAACAGCTACTCCCCTCTGCCCCGGTCCGGGCCATAGAGGTTTGTATTGCTCCTTCAGAATTATGTTACTCTTGCTTACTTATGTTTCCATTTATGCTCATATTTGTTCCTTTGTTATACAGGGTCTATACCACACCATGGCTCTCTGCGCCACTGCTGAAGCCCAATCCCTCTTCATCAAGAAGCTGGAGAAGGATCTTGACAATGCAGAGAAGAGAGCCACCACTGCCTCTACCAATCTGAAGATAGCTTCTGAAGCCAAGGATGTGTATAAGAGGCAGTTGGCTGCCTCTGAGGCTATGGTGGATTCTCTTCAGGCCGAAATTCAACGCTTGACCGAGGCTCTTACTACTTGCTTCAAGGCGGGGAAGCAAATGCAGGGGTGCTACTCCTGTCTGGTACACCTGGCTAGTGCTAAAGCGTTCCGGTCTGGCTATAATCAGGGCTCAGGCCCTAGGACAATGGATCCGGACGCTTTTGACAAGCAGGTGGGGGTGCACTTCCCATATGATGAAGGGCCACAGGCTTTGGAAGCTGAAATCCGCTTTGCCGAGATGGTGAAGGCGCACCTGAAGGGTACTCCTAGCTCTCCTGCCCCTGCGGCTTCAATTCCTCCTACCCCAAGTCCTACTGTAGTGGATGCTTTTGAATCTACTCCCTTCGATCCGAAGAGGAAGTAGAACCATGTATTTTGTTTTTATTGACAGTACATTTGGGATAATAAATATAATTTTTAGGCTTTTAATACCTGATTTGTTTTTGCTGTATGCTTTTGATATTGTTCATACTTTTCTGACTAGTAATGTTTTTATGACAAACAAAACACATTGTCTTTATGCTTCGGATTTATGCTATCCGAGAAAAAGTAAGGATGATGGGAAGAAGGAGATTCTTTTAACAGTTTGATTGATATCTCAGGATGATTTATATGGACAATGATCTAACTGTTAAGTGAACTCTTCTTGCCTTTGACTTGCCTGCAGTAGACGTATACATACTCTTTCTTTCTCGTGTGTTCCTGATGTGGAGTGGATCATGATGAACTTATGATATATCCATATCCACAGGGTGTTAAACACTTGGAGTCCGGAGGAAAAAATTCTAATCCGGCCACCAGAGGTCTGAAGCGAATTGTTCCTCGGCACTGAGTGTGGAGGAATATTGCTGAATAGGACACTTTGGGTCCGAAGCTGTCTCGGACACTTAGGATCCGAGGCGAATTGTTCCTTGGCACTGAGTCGTGGAGGAATATTGCTGAATAGGACACTTAGGGTCCGAAGCTGTCTCGGACACTTAGGATCCAAGGCGAATTGTTCCTCGGCACTGAGTCGTGGAGGAATATTACTGAATAAGACATTTAGGGTCCGAAGCTGTTCTCGAACACTTAGATCCGAGGTGAATTAAATACTCCCTGGCGCGGAGCCCGAGGGGAAGTTTTGCCGAGCCGGACACTTAGGGTCCGAGGCGAATAACTACTCCCCGGCGCTGAACCTGAGGGGAAGTTTGTTTTATATATATATATATATATATATATATATATATATATATATATATTTTTCCTCAAACAACTTATCATGAGGTCGAGGATTCAAAAATGTTAAGAGGCAAAGAAAGCGGAATAGGACACTTAGGGTCCGAAGCTGTCTCGGACACTTAGGATCCGAGGCGAATTGTTCCTCGGCACTGAGTCGTGGAGGAATATTGCTGAATAAGACACTTAGGGTCCGAAGCTGTTCTCGGACACTTAGATCCGAGGCGAATTAAATACTCCCTGGCGCGGTGCCTCAGGGGAGGTTTTGCCGAGCCGGACACTTAGGGTCCGAGGCGAGATTTTTGCCGAGCCGAACACTTAGGGTCTGAGGCGAATGAACTACTCCCCGGCGCTGAGCCTGAGAGGAGGTTTGTTTATATTTTTTTCTCAAACAACTTATCATGAGGCCGAGGATTCAAAAATGATAAGAGGCCAAGAAAACGAGTAACAGTGGCTGTGAAGTTTCCTATTTGTTGACTTTGGAGACTTTCCTCCTCCATCGATACTCCCTTCTTGGCAACCAAATGTAGTGGACTACGCATATATTAACCGCATTTCTTTTATATTTCTATCCGATGTGGGATAGAAAGTTTTAACCATAGGCCATAACTCATGTTTTTTTCTTGAAAATCATTGTGACGAATGCTTTTTAACAGCTTGCTTCTAACATTGCTTTGCATAAAAATTGCATAGTGCGACTTGGCATGCATAAAAATTGCCAAATGCAACGCATGCATAAAAGTTGCATGCATAAAAGTTGCATGATCAGTAGTATGGCCCCCATTTTTATAGAAAGAAATAAATAGAGTAGAATTGTACTGAATATAGAAGCAAAATAAAGAAAAGTTTGGCTGACTGTGGACATACTCAGCCTTATTTGTGAAGAATTTGTAGCAAAATTGACAAACTTATCTAATGAAAATACCTTTTAAGGTGTATTGCGTTCCAAGGACGCGCAATGGGACGTCCGTCAGCTTCGGCCAAATGATATGCTCCTTTCCCCACTACTTCGGTAACCCTGTAGGGTCCGGTCCAATTAGGTTCCAGTTTCTTTACATGAGCTGTCTCTTGCTTCAAAACCCAACCGCCTACCAAGAACCTACGGTACCGGACACGCTTGTTATAACTGTTACACACCTGCTGTTGGTATGCCGCGAGCCGAATTGCTGCGGCATTTCTCTTTTCGTCCACAAGATCAAGGCTATGTTCGAGTTGTTGCTCATTGTTCCCTTCCAGTACCAAGAATGTCCGAAGGGTTGGGATTATTGACTCGGTAGGAATGACAGCTTCGGATCCATATGCCATAGCAAATGGGCTTTCTCCCGTGGGTCGTCTTAGAGTGGTTCGATAGGCCCAGAGCACTTGGGGGAGATTCTCGTACCATTTTGTCTTCAATTTCTCCAATTTTTTCTTTAAGCACCCAAATATCGTGCGATTAGTTATTTCAGCTTGCCCATTGCCTTGTGGATGACTAACTGCAGCCAATTTTTGCAGGATTCCATGTTCATTAAAGAACTTTCTTGTACTTTTGTTATCGAGGTTCTTACCATTGTCCATTACGATGACTTTTGGTACCCCAAACCGGCAAATAATGTTGCTCCAAATGAAATGTTTTACTTCTTCGTGGGTGACGCTAGAGAAGGCTTTAGCTTCTACCCACTTGGTGAAGTAATCCATAGCCAAAAGCACATGCTCCTTTTTTTCCACGGTTTTGGGTAACGGTCCTACTACATCAATCCCCCAATGGGCGAACGGCCATAGATTAGCCATGGCATGCAAACCTTCGGTAGGTTGATACTTTATTGGACCATGGCGCTGACACTTGTCACATCTTCTTGAGTATTCTTCGGCATTCCGAGCCAAGTATGGCCAAAAATAGCCTTGGGTTAGAATTTTGTGTGCAAGGGATCTTCCTCCCGAGTGATTTCCACAATCCCCTTCATGAATTTGTTTTAGAATTATGAGAGCCTCAGTAGGGGTTAAACACTTGAGATAAGGACCGGAGAATGACCTTCGGTATAACTGGTTATTGATGATTGAGTATTTAGCCACGGTAAGCCTAAGCTTCCTTGCCTCAGCTTTTTGATTTGGGAGAACTCCTTCCTTGAGGTAGGCCTCAATTGGATCAATCCAGCATGGCTCGCGTGGACCTTCCGGGATCACCATCACCTCTTGCCGGGGATTAATGCTAGGTTCTTTGAGGACATCGATTGGAACAAACCGAATCAACTCTTCGTCTGAAGATGATGCGGCTGCGGCCAATCGATCTGCTTCGGCATTTTCATCTTGTGGTACCTGATGGAATTCGATTTAATCGAACTCCCGGATGGCATTCTCTACAGCATCTTTGTATGACTTCATACGTTCCACCTTGGGATAATAGTGCCCTGTCACTTGATTGATCACAAGCTGTGAGTCACTAAAAACTTTTAAGCACCGTACCTGTAGCTGTTTAGCTAGCCGAAGTCCGGCAAGCAACGCCTCATACTCGGCCTCGTTATTAGTAGCTGGGAAATCTAGCCAAATTGACTGCTGCAGCTTGGTACCCTCGGGTGTTGTAATGTCAATCCCGGCCCCCGCCTTTTTCTGGTTGGAAGAGCCATCAACCCGTAACTCCCAGTACGGCTCTTGAAGTGTCGGCTCCTCAGATTGATCTTCATATTCCAGTAGGAAATCTGCTACTGACTGCCCCTTGTGAGATACCTTTGGTGCATAGGTGATATCAAAAGAGCTAAGTTCAATAGCCCATTTTGTAATTCGACCAGACAAGTCTGGTTTAGCTAGGATAGCCCGTATAGGGTGGTTTGTAAATACCACTATGCTATGAGATTCGAAGTAATGTCGAAGTTTCCTCTTGGCATAAATTAACGCCAAGATTATCTTTTCCGTCTTGCTGTACCGTATCTCGGCATCCGTCATCATTTTGCTTGTGTAAAAGATTGGATGCTGAATCTTGCCTCCTTCTTTGATCAACACCGCGCTTGTTGCTACAGCTGATACTGCCAAGTACAGGATGAGAGTGTCTCCGGGCGTTGGAGCAGAAAGGATTGGGGGTTTTGTCATGTAGCTTTTCAATTGATTAAGAGCTTCCTGCTGCTGAGGTCCCCACATATCTTTGTTTTTGGATCGAATAGCATCAAAGAAAGGTTTATACTTATCAGATAATCGGGATATGAACCGGCTGAGGACCGCAACTCGGCCAGTTAGAACTTGCACTTCCCTGCGGGTTTTTGGCTCTTGGTTCTGTATGAGTGCCTTTGCCTGAGCTGGGCTTACTTCTATTCCTCTTTTATTTACAATGTACCTCTTGAGAGTATCAAAGTACCTCTTGGTGGGGTTCAGCTTCATATTGTACCTCTTGAGAGTATCAAAGACCTCCTGGAGGTGCTTCGGGTGATCCTCTTTCCGTATACTTTTGACCACCATGTCATCGATATAGGCTTTAACAGTATTCCCCAGTAGATTATTGAAAATTTTATTGACAAGTCGCTGGTAGATGGCTCCGGCGTTCTTTAGGCCGAAGGGCATCACTCTATAGCAGTAAGTGCCCGTCTCTGTGATGAAAGCGGTTTTCTCCTCATCTTCAGGATTCATGGGAATCTGATTATAGCCGGAGTATGCATCGAGGAATGTAAGCCTCTCATAGCCTGTCGTAGCATCCACTATTTGATCAATCTTGGGCAGTGGGAAGCTATCTTTTGGGCAAGCTTTGTTAAGGTTGGTATAATCTACGCATACCCTCCATTTCCCATTCTTCTTTTGAACGACTACTACATTTGAGAGCCATTGTGGGTATTGCACCTCTCGAATGAATCCTGCCTGTAATAGTTTATTTACTTCCTCGGCTATTATGCGATTCCGTTCAGGTGCGAACCGTCGGTGCCTCTGCTTGACTAGCCTGAATTCTGGGTTAACCTTCAAACTATGGCATGAGACCGTAGGATCGATCCCTACCATGTCCGAGTGATCCTAGGCAAAGACATCCGAATTGCACCGAATGACCCTGATCAATGCTTCCTTCTCTTCGGCTGTGCAAGATGAGCCAATGTAGGTGACCTTCTGAGGGTCTCCGAGGACTACCTCTATAGCTTCGAGGGACTCCTCGGAAGGTGATTCAGCCTCGGCTTCTTCCTCTGCCTTAAAATACTTGGGCAGAGGATACTGTAACTGCTATTTGATT